CTTCCATCTAAATTTCAGAGCCTCCTCACTGATGCAGAAAGCAATGGTTAGCCAGCACCATACATTAGAAAGCTCTGCCAGGCTGCCTCCGAGAGGCAGGGCCCAGGAGCTTAGACATATACTCAGGGGTCTGGCTTTGCCCCACTCCTACCTTCCTCCATGTGAATAGTCATGGAATTGGAGACTATTAGGGCTAGAAGGGAACTTAGAAGTTCCTCACCCACAAAAAGGTTGGAAATTTACATTTTTAAGTATTCCCCAATGTCCCTAACACCTTATGAACATAGCTCCTCTTCTGGCAGAGCCAGGCTCTGGACTGGGCGTCCACATAGTGTGAGCTTCTCCTGAAGCCTCTCCTGCCTTCTCTAATCCTGTACTGTACACTCTACTCTTCAGGCCTCTCCCTCCCTATTTTAGCCAATGCTTCCAACCCTCATTGTTCATTTATGTGGGCATGTAGCCTGATGGCATGGAGGAGGTAAAGCCCATCCTCACAACCAGGGGCGGGGAACCTGGAGCCTGGAGGCCACATTGTGGCCCTCTAAGTCCTCACATGCGGCCCTTTGACTGAATCCAAACATCACAGAACTGGCCACATGTGGCCTCAAGGCCATATGTTCCCCACCCCTGGTCACAACTGTACCATTGTCACTTCTTCCACCCCTCAAGGCTAGAATTGGAAAGAACACTGAATTTAGAATCAAAGAACTTGGAATTACAGAATCCAAATGTCGTTCTGATCAAGTCATTTAAACTCTCTGAGGCTTGGTTTCCTCATGGCAGCAAGGCAGGGCCTCTCCAGTTCTAAATCCTATGTTCTTATGATTCTAGTTCATGAAAAAAAAAATTAGAAGAAGGTTGGAGACCCTTGGCTCGTCACCTCAATCTGCTTTCTCTCAATATCAAATGTTTAATTAGGGGCTTACCTCATTATGTTACTTCTGCTATTGAGTTTTGACCTAGGACATCTTTATTTCAATATAATTGATTTTCTTTGAGATTTTGTGTATTTTACTTTACGCATTTAAAAATGTTATTCTGAAGAAGGTCACCATTCATCAGGCCACCAGAGGGGACCCGGGCATACAAAAAGGGAAAGAACTCCTGGACTAAGGGCTGGTGGAGAAGTTCCTGTCCTGAGGAGGTTTGGGAGTAGGCACTGGCAATGAGTAGCATCGACTTCTACCTGTAGAGATTTTAAATAAGAAGCTCCCATGTCTTTACACAGAAGGCCTAGGACAGAGAAGAGTCAGAGAAAGAAGGAAAGTTATAACCTGAATCCTTTTGGTCCTATGACCTTGAAATCCACAAAGGACCCCAAAGGACATATTCTTCTTTGTTGAATGATACAAGATGAAATTTCTCTAGATTTGGTTGTTCTGGGTGGGAGAATGGGGGAGAACACACTGGACTTGCATATACTGTCTAATGACAAATGCATTTCCAAAGTGCTTTGACAAAGTTTTCATGTAGCACAAGTGACACTCGGTAGGTTTAGGTGTGGGGCTCTTTTATTTTTCCTTTTTGGAAAGAGTGCTTTCTCTACAGTCTTTTGTAGCTCTCAGACTCTCTGAAATCTGTGAAGAAAACTAAATCCAAAAAACTAGTAATTTCCCTGTTCTTATGATAAAGTCAGTCATTTATTTCTTATTATAAAGTCAGTTGCTGATAAAAACTGAGATGACACAGTCTTTAGCAGTTTCTCTCTTCCTTTGTCAAATTCGAAACAAACAAAAAAAATAACAGAAGTAAATTCAACTAGAAGATTCATAGCTATTGTCTGAATAGACTACACATTCAATTTAAGCAGGTATATTTCATTTTATGAACAAACCAAAATATACCTAATACGTTTTTATGTTCTTAAAACAATAAACTGACTTTTAAATTTGCAAAGGATGCAAAAAAGTGAATTTTAATTTAACTTTTTCTTCCTGTACTGCTATTCCCCAGAAAAAAAAGGAGCACACTTGGTAGCAAGCTGTATGTGACGGAGAAAATAATGGCCTAGGGAATCAGGAGACCTGAATTTAAATCCTGGTTCTGCCACTAACTTGCTGTGTGACCAGCAATGGCTCACATCACCTCTCTGCATCAAATTTCTCTGTCTATATATAGAATGGAGGAACTGACCTAGATGGCTTCAAAGGCCTTTTCTAGTTCTAAAAATATGACATGTTTCCATATATGTACTTTTTTTTAATAAAAATTTCTTTTTACCCCAATCTATGGCGCAAAAAGTTTTCCATGGCTTCAAAATTTCTGGAAATCTTATGCATTCATTTCCAGGGTTAATTAATTCTTAATTAAGTCCTTCTGCCTTAAATGAAACTACAAACACATCAAAATGTTTGCTTGGCTAAATTTCTTGATGTGAAGTGGTTTCATGACATTGCAAAGTAACTTGTGGACATTCAAGCATATTTTCAGGTACTAATTGATCACAATCAATTTAACATAATCCAGTCAGCTCTCTCTGAATAAAACTTAGTTTGGGGAGTAGAAATATCAAAAAAGAATTTGCTGGTTGCTCTTCCCTGTCATGAACATTAGCTGAATGTGACCATTATTCTTGGTTTTTTTGTTATTCGTGGTTTTTTTTTTTTTTGGTCAGGCAATTGGGGTTAAATGACTTTCCCAGAGTCACACAGCTAGTTGAGTGTTATGTGTCTGGATCTGAGGTCGGATTTGAACTCAGGTCCTCGCTCCAGGGCCAGTGCTCTATCCACTGCGCCACCTAGCTGCCCTTTTGACCGTTATTCTTGATAAAGCTCTCCCTGATACATAGATACATCAGCCAGTAGCAGTACAAGTATATGCATGAATTACGCATTTTAATTATACACAGAGATAAATATAACCACACAGAGATTTTCTCCTGCCAGGTAAATGCCCTCTGCAAAAGTGCGCCCTTTTCTCTACAATATCTACACAGATTCATATCTAGACCTCAAAGAGATGAACAACTGCATACATATCCAAGCATACACTCCAAACATACAAGGATAAATGAAGATATATGAGGGTGGTGACAAGCTGAATGACATTCAGAGGAGGGCAACCAGAAGGAACAGGGGACTGAAGACCCTACCTCACACAGTGGACTGTGGCAATAACCTGAGGAAGAGAATACTTAGGTGGAAATATGATAGATGCCTTAAAGTATGTGAAAGATTGTCATGGGGAAGAAAGACTGGGTTTGTCTTGCTTGACCCAAGGGAAGGAACCAGGAGCAGCGGACAGAAGTTACAAGGGGGTAGAGTCTGGTGAGAACCCCTAGCAATTAGAGGGCATTGGGTTCCCTTAGTGAGCAATGAGCCTGCTGTCACTGGAAGTGCTGAAGCAGATGCTGGATGACCATTTTTCGAGGATGCTGCAAAAGGTATTACTGCTTTAGCTAAGATTGGACTAGATGTACCATCACTTCTCTTATTAATGCTGATGATATGTACAGAAAGAGGAACAAATATATATACATATACATATACATACACACATAGATATATGTGCGTGCACACACAAACAGCCACGTACCAGTATACCTACTTCAGAGGTGTGTTGTTGTTCAGTTGTTTCAGTCATGTCTGACTCTTGGTGACCCCATTTGGGGTTCTCTTGGCAAAGATGCTGGAGTGGTTTGCCATTTCCTTCTGCAGCTCATTTTACAGATGAGGAACTGAGGCAAACAGGATTAAGGGACTTGCCCAGGGTCACAAAGCTAGTGAATGAGGTCAGATTTGAATTCGGATCTTCCTGACTCCAGCCCAGTGCTCCATCCACTGTGCCACCTAACTGCTCCACTTTAGAGGTTGAGTGCAAGTAAATATGCTGGCTAGAGAGCATGCCTCTAATGTATCGCTCCCTGACATGGGGCAGGAAGATGGGTATCTACCAGGAGAAATCATCTTTTTTGTTACTCCCATAGAGACAGTCAGGAGTGCGCATACACAAGCACGTGCACACATACATGCATGCACACAAATCAAGGAGCTCTCAAGCAGAGTAGGTGTGGGGTAATCTGGACAAGGAGATGGGAGAAGGTGGAGGTTAGATTTATGTAGCAAGAAGTAGGTGCAAGAGTGGAGGAAATGACGAATGAGGTACTAATGAATATAGGTGGAGATGTAGTTCCACAGACCCAGATCTGAGCTTTGAGTCTGCCCAGCCCTTCCTCATTGGGTACCATCACCATATCTCACTAGAATTCCATTCTCAGACCAGCAGCATCTTTTCTGGAGAAAAATTTTTCTGCTGCAGCGCCCATAAACCAGGAAGTTACTATGCCAACTGCTTCAGTATCTAAGGATGAGGTAGAGGTACAGACTGAGGGGGAAACAATCACTTTTCTTTTTTGTACATGCACAATAATATTAAATCTATTTACACATTAGTCATGTTGTAAAAGAAGAATCAGAACAAAAGGGAAAAACCATGAGAAAGAAAAAACAACAAAAAAAATGAAAATAATATGCTTCCATCTGCATTCAGACTCCATAATTCCTTCTCTGGATGTGGATTAATATTTTCCATCATGAGTCTTTTGGAATTTTCTAAGATCATTGTACTGCTGGGAAGAGATAAGTCTATCAAAGTTGATCATGTACAATGTTGCTGTTACAGTGTATGATGTTTTCCTGGTTCTGCTCACTTTACTCAGCATCAATTCATGTAAGTTTTTCCAGGTTTTCTGAAATCTGCCTGCTCATCATTTCTTATGGCAAAACAGTATTCCATTACATTCATATACCACAACTTGTTCAGCCATTGCCCAATTGATGGGCATCCCCTCAATTTCCCATTCTTCACCACTACAAAAAGAGGTGCTATAAATATTTTTGTCCATGTGTGTCCTTTTCCCTTTTTTATGATCTCTTCGGGATACAGACCTAGTAGTGGTATTGTTCGATCAAAGAGTATGTACAGTTTTATAGCATAGCTCCAAATTACTCTCCCAAATGGTTAGATCAGTTCACAGCTCTACCAACAATGCAGTAGTGTTCCAGTTTTCCCACATCTTCTCCAACATTTATCATTTTCCTTTTCTGTCATATTAGCTAATCTGATAAGTGTGAGGAGGTACCTCAGAGAACAATCACTTTTCTCCAGGAAAGTCAGATGGGAGTGAGTACTGAAAGGACTGAAGATCTAGGACAAATCCAAGAGGTTAAGGCTGGACCCTGCAGGTCAGATCACAGAGTGTTCTTGACTCTTGCTGATTTCTGTCCAGACAAAGGTCAACAGCCGGTGGCCTTATCATCCATTATGTTGAATAACTCCCGCATAAGGGGGGTGGCAAAGGGATGGAGGTCTTCAATCTTGAGCAGTTTCTTGGTGTGCTGGGCATTGACGCTTCGGAGCTCTGTGAGAATGGCTATGATCTTCAGAAACAAAAAACTGTAGGATAGGTGGGGGGCAGGGAAGGGAAGAGGGGGCAAAGGGTAAGGGAAAGAGAGGGCATAGATGAAAAAATTAGGAAATGCTGTGGAATTTGTGTTTGGCTTCTCCTTCCCCACTCCACCCTCATCCTTTGTCTTAGGGGTCCAGTGGTGTCCTGGTACCATTGACGGTAGATTTAGGGAGGGAAACACATGCTATAGGGGCTGGTTTCATTTCTCTGAGCAGTAGTCAAGTGTCATTGGATAAGAAGCTCTTGGTTATAGTTGAGAGTCTACACAGTCTCCCTGTTGCTCACTACTGAACCTATCCCATGCAAGTTGTAATAGGGTAAGACCTTTAGCCAGTAGGAATCAAAAATGAGGGCTCAGCTTCTGAGAACATCCTTATCCTTTCCTTTAGGGCTAACCCAGGTAGACTGTGTTTTTTAAAAGTTTATTTTGCGGTAGCTAGGGGACGCAGTGGATAGAGCTCTGGCCCTGAAGTCAGGAGGAACTGAGTTCAAATTCTGCCTCAGACACTTGACACTTACTAGCTGGGTGACCCTGGACAAGTCACTTAACCCCATTGCCTAGCCAACCCCCCCCACAAAAAAAAGTTTATTTTATTTTTAATTTATGGAATAAAACAAGCATTTTCATAACATAGTACAATTAAAAAAGATGATTGAGATTCTTTAAGTTTAGAGCAGCAGCCAAGGTCCAGCCCATGGGGCATCCATGGCAAGCACTACCTAACCTTGCGATGGCTTGTTTCTGGAAGCTGAATCAAGCCTGGTCAACAGTGTCAGATATGAGAGACAGCGCGGTGCAATGAACAGAAAGCACTGGACATAGAATCAGGAAGGGCTGCATTCAATCCCACCTCAGATGCTTACTAGCTGTGTGATCCTTGGCAAGTCACGTAAACCACCTTTGGCCTCAGTTTCCCCATCTGTGAAATGAAGGGGTTGGACATGGTCTCTAAGGCCTCTACTAGCTCTAACTCTCTGATCCTATGGTATGTCACTGACATTTGACAAACTGCTAAGTTAAGAGCAAAACTCCATAATTCAGTATTTCCAGAATCTGTAATTTCATCTGTGTAAGGAGACCCATTATGAACAGAGGTCCTAACCCATCTTCATTTTAGTGCACAGTTACATGAATTGCTGTGGCCATGCCTCTGGTGATGAGTGAGGCTGGTCCGTGAAAAACAGGCATACAGTCAGTCCATCACTGGACCTTTTCCAATGTGATAAGGCCTGGCCAAGCCTACATTCGGCTTGTTCAGCTTCCAAGAATCCCAAATTACATCCCTGCCAAGATGAGGCACAGAAACTCCAGTGGTTCCCTATTTCCTATCACATCCAATCTAAACTCTTCCATTTGACTTTAGGGGCCCTTTCCTAGCTGTACCACCTTGCCACTGTTCCCCAACACGCACCCTCCTTACATTTCTTGATTTCTGTGGCCTTGTTCTTTGCTCCTCCACCTTTACTGCCCAGCTAACTCCTCTGCACCTTCCAAAGTAGACCAGGAAACATGTCCTAACTACTCTAGGTCTTACTGACCTTCTTCTGCCCTGATCTACTACAGGATTTAATGTTTAGACCACACAATTTACACTAATCATCTTACATTGCTTCTTTTTGGGTTTTTTTTTGTGTTACTCTTGACTCTCCAACGAGAGTATAAGCTTCTTCTTTTTTTTTTTTAGTGAGGCAATTGGGGTTAAGTGACTTGCCCAATGTCACACAACTAGTGAGTGTTATGTGTCTGAATCTGGACTTGAACTCAGGTCCTCCTGACTCCAGGGCCGGTGCTGTATTCACCGCGCCACCTAGCTTCCCCAAGAGTATAAGCTTCTTAAGGGCAAGTTTCTTTGTCTATGTCTTCTATGGCACCTAGTACAGTGTTGACAATGTAGTAGGCATTGGTATAGCTTGGTATGGCTTGAGAACTTGGATAGCTAATAGAGGTTCCACGCCTTTAGCATCTGGCACTTTCTTTCCTCCCACCCACAACATGGGGAGGCTTTACATAAAACGAAGACAAATCTGTCCATAAGCCCAAATGGCCCCAGCTTTGTTGGCATCTGGTCATCTATGGGCATAAAATTCCTAGCCACTTGGAATCTAGGGCCATGGAACTTGGCAGATTTCTGAAGTTCACTTGAGTCAGTCACCATGTCCTTTACCACTGATGACCAAAACATTTCCATATTTAGATGGGGGGATGTTAGGTCAGAGTTAATTGCATTTTGTTAACCATTCAATGACTTTTTTAGTCACTCATTTCCTCCCAACATCAAACCTGAATTGAGTGTTGGTGTTAGAATCACCTTCAAAAACACATCCAACAGGATCATAGATTTAGAGGTCATGGGGTCCAATCCTCTGATTTTTATAGATGAACACACTCCAGAGAAGTTCAGCACCTTGCCCAGGGTCACTCAGCTAGTAAGTGTCTAAGGCAAGATTTGAACCCAGGTCTTCATTGCTCCAAGTCTGGTGCTCTATCCACTACACCATACTACCCCACCTAATACATGCGGACCTGACTAAGTAAACTTACACCAGTGGTTATCAAACATTAGGGTTATATCTTTGCTGGAGGACTCTATTTCATTCCATGTCTCCACACTCATTACTCAGTCAATTGTTTTCAATTTCCATCTTCTAGAAGATCCCAGACTAGTCTTGTTCAGTATTGGCTTTCACATGAGCAGAAGAGAAATAAGAGCAGCCCAGGCTAAGCAAGTGAGTGGTCTCACAAATCCAAGTCTTTTCCTTGCTCTTGGTGCATAAGTAGCAACATACTCACACACCAACAGACATAAATCCTCCATGCCTGGCTCAGCTCCACCCCCTCCAATTCTTACAACTTCCTTGGTTTCCAATTGTCAGCCAGTCACTAAGCATTTATTAAACACCTACTATGTCAGGCACTGTTCTGTTGGGGATACAAAGAAAGGCAAAAGACAGTCCTTGTTCATAAGGAGCTATTGTCTAATGAAAGAGACAACAGGCAAATAACTAAGTAAAAACAAGAATGTGTGTGTGTATGTGTGTGTGTTCAGTAAAAGTAAACTGGAGGTAATCTACAGAGAGAAGATACAAGCATTAAGGAGAATCAGGAAAGACTTCTTGCTGAAGGTCAGATTTTTAGCTGGTTCTTGAAGAAAGTCGGGGAAACTGGGAGGCAGAAATAAGAAGGGAGAGAACTCTAGCCATGGGGGACAGCCAATGAAAATGTCTGGAATCAAGAGGTATAGTGCCTTCTGCAAGGAACAGCAAGATAGCCCGCGTCACTGGATTGAAGCGTACACGGGAGTAAGGTATAAGAATATGGGAAGGTAGGAGACGGCCAGGTTCTTGAGGGTTCTGAATGACAAACAAAGGAATTTAGATTTGACGCTGGAGGCAATAGGGAGCCACTGGAGTTTATTGAAGGGGGAGTATAACACGGTCAGATATGTGCTTTAGGAAGGTGAATTTGACAGCTGAGTGGAGGATGAACTGGAGTTGAGGAAGACTTGAGGCAGACAGCTCCACCAGCAGGCTATTGCAATAGTCTAAATATGAGGTCATGAGGGCCTGCAGGGTGATGGCCATGTCTGAAGAGAAAAGGGTCATAGATGAGAGATTTTACAAAAGTAAAAACCATAGGACTTGGCATTAGACTGGATATGGGGGGCAAAGGAGAGTGAGGAGTTGAGGATGACGCTTAGGTTATGAGCCTGCATGACTGTGGTATCCCACACAATAACAGCAAAGTTAAGAAGGCGGTGGGGGGGTGGGGTGTTGAAGGGAAAGATAGTGAGTTTTGTTTTGGATATGTAGAGTTTAAGATGTCCATAGGACATCCAGTTTGAGATGCTGTCTGGAAGTTTTGGAGAGAGTTTAGGGCTGGATAAGGAAAGCAGAAAATCATTAGCATAGCGACAACAATTGAATCCCTAGGAACTGATGAGAACACCAAGAGAAACAGCATAGAGGAGAAAAGAAGAGAGCCCCAGAGAGAGCCTTAGGGGGCATCCCCAGGTAGCAGGCATGGCCTGGATCACCATTTCTAGTCACTGTCCAACCAGCAATGGAGTCTAAAAAGGAGGAGATAACCTGGAGAAAGCTGGGCCTAGAAAATCTAGAAAGAAGAGAGTATCAAGAAGAAAAGTGTGACCAGCAAAAACCCAAACTCTCACATCTTGCCCATTCCCTTCACTCACCTAGCTATTACCTTAGTTCAAGCACTCATCATCTCTTGCCTGGAATTTTGCAACATCTTCCTAATTGGTCTCCATGCCAGTCTTCCTCCACTCCAGCCTATCCCATGCTACTGCCAAAGTCCCTCCCAAACTACCTTGTATTTAATTATGGTACTTTGTATTCCTTCTGTATATACTTATGTATGTACTTGTCACAACCCCCATTTGAAAGTAAGGATTGTTTCATTCTATGTACATGGATTTGTAGTGCCCAATACAGTGCCAGGCACACAGTAAGTGCTTAATAAATGCTTTCTGTTTGATTGATTTCTCTCAGCCAGTCCCTAGTAATCTTCCCCCGTAAGTGTGGAGAACAGCATCCAATGTGAAGCAGTGCATAAACCCACTCCCCTGCAATGAAGTCGAGACGTTCACTCTGGGGGCCTTTTCTACTGAGAGGCAGTGCCGGCTGTCCTCACTCACCGGTTCTCTGGCTGAGGTCGCTTGCATTCTATGTAGGCTTTCAGTGTCATGGTGAATCTCTGCTGCAGCTGATCCACGACACAATGCTCGACCACACCTGGTCGATCTAAGGAAAGAGCAGGAGCAAGGGAAATCCCTGGGGCATTAAGATGGAGAAACTGCTCCCTTTCCCCAAGTTCAGCACCTTTCCCCCTAGCATGATAGGGTAACTTTGTCTCATGGAATGACGGGCTTTGATGTTAATGAAGGAAGAGAGAGAGATACGGACTGTGCTTCCAATCACCCTGTGACTTTGCCACAGATTCTTCTTCTAGTGAAAGAAGCCCAGGGAGGAACTTCTCTTCAGTCCCTCTCCTGGGGAGCCCCACTCCCAGAAAAACCCAAGTGTAGGGCATTTTCTTAGAGGGAAGCTTTCTCTCCTTGTGCACATTTGGGGACCACAGGGAGACACAACACCATGGCTGTATGATTCGGAGGCTCTGATATAGGCAGTCCAAAGTTGTATAACATGTGTGCATGTGCGTATATGTTAGAGATAAGAGAAAAGAGACAGTCTTAAATATTTTGTATATGTGTGTGTGTGTATAGACATGTGTATGTCTCTGGTGTTTCTATGTGTACATACATGCATACATGGAGAGAGAGAGAGAAGAAAGAAGAAAGATACTCAGACCTAACATATAATAGGACTGCCTGTCTCTCATACATATATATATTTACACACATACATATATAATCTCTCTATATATCTATAAAGAGATCTTTCTATAGAGATCTATATCTACATATCTATATCAAGAGATAGAGTTTGGAAAGGGAGAGGAAGAAGAAGGAGGGAGAAGGAACAAAGACAATCCTTTTATATATGTATGTATACATGTTTGTGTATATTTTAGATAATATATAATATGTTTGTATATAGAGAGAGGGAGAGACAGAGAGAGGCTAAAGACAGAGCTGAGACAGGAAAGAGATCTCCTAAGTGGTTGACTACCAGGACCTTTCACTGAAGAGTATGATGGTAGTTCCCCTCAAGTTTGAATCTGCCTTGGAAGTAAGTCGGGGCTGAGACTGAAGGCCAGGAGCAGTGTTGGGCTACCGTACCTGGGGAGAAGAGGGAGATGGCCTGAATTAGCACATACTCTTCATCACGTAGCTGCAGCTTCTTCATCATGTAGTGTAATTTCATTACAGGATCCGTATGATAGTACTGCCAAAACCCTGTAGAGTCCAGTAAGAGAGCAGCTGTCAGCCAAGGTAGGTATGGGGGCTCTCTAATCATTCAACCCTCCTGAAGTAGCAGCCCTGGCCATATAACTGAGTGAGCACCTTATTTGCAAAAACAGGCTTCCCAAAGAACCCAGGCTTTCACAATATCTCACAAGAGAAGCACCTTCTTTGTCAGACACTTTGGGTTTTTTTTGGTTTCTTGGTTGGTTTTTTGGGTTTTTTTGTTTTGTTTGTGTGGTTGGTTTTTTGGTGAAGCAATTGGGGTTAAGTGACTTGCCCAGAGTCACACAGCTAGTGAGTATTGTGTGTCTGAAGCCAGACTTGAATTCAGGTCCTCCTGATTCCAGGGCCAGTGCTCTATCCACTGCACCACTTAGCTGCCCCTGTCAGAGACTTTGACAGCTGGGATTGTGAGCCCCTTTCCTTCCACTCTGTATATTTCTTTCTTTCTTTTGGCAATTGGGGTTAAGTGACTTGCCCAGAGTCACACAGCTAGTAAGTGTCAAGTGTTTGGTCTGAGGCTGGATTTGAACACAGGTGCTCCTGACTTCTGGGCTGGTGCTCTGTCCATGTGCCACCTAGCTGCCCCCATTCTGTATATTTCTTCCTCTCCCTCTTCACCCTTTCCAGGTTCTCTGGGAATGGGTCAATCAATCAATAAACATTTATTAAGTGCCTACTTTGTGCCAGGCACTGTGTTAGGTGCTAGGGATACAAAAAAAAATTTTTAAAGGGTGAAAGACAGTCCTTGCCTTCAAGGAGCTTACAATCGAATGGGAGAAGACAATATGCAAATGAATATATGTAAACAAACCATATATAGGATAAATAGGGAATAATTAACAGAGGGAAGGCACTGGGATTAAGAAGAGTTGGGAAAGGCTTCCTGTAGAAAGGGAGATTCTAGTTGGGGCCTAAAGAAAGCCAGAGAGGTCAGTTAGGTGAACTCATGTAAAATTGTAAGGCATGAAGACAGGGCAAAAGGCATTTTTCACCCTGGGTACAAAAATATAGAGGGTGCTGACTGGCATTAGTTTGGATTTAGAGGACCTGGGTTCAAATCCTGCTTGTGATACTCACTGCCTATGTGACTTTGGGAAAGTCACAGCCTCCCTAGCTTCAGTTCTGTCATCCATATAAGGAGAGAGGTGGCCTAGACAGCTTCTGAGGTCCCTTCAGGCTCTCTATCTATGATCCCATGAGCATTTGCAATCCTTTACCAGTGCAGAAACAACCAAATTTACTTACTTAATAAGAATAATTAAAATAGGAAGCTATAGAGAGCTCACTGCTGACAAATGTTTAAAAACCAGCTCTCCAGAAGAAAAAAATATATACCCATGGCACACTTTTAAGTGTAATCTGCATTATTGACATTTTCTCCAGTACTTCATTATGTCTAGCCAATCAACAAAGCACTTAGTTAAGCCTTACTTCATGGGCAGCATTTGCCAATTTCCGAAGTGTAAACGCTAACACTGATAATTTAACAGGCCCCCGAATCTGAGCCTTCTCCAGCACGCCTCTGGCTATGGAAGGTGTGACTGACAGCTGTACCCCAGGGGAGCTGTGCCACCGCCTGACATCCTCTCCCCACGCCCTCCAGCAGTCTCCCCACTGGCAATCGAAGGTGCACTTCACACTGCTGGCCCCTGTCATGCTTTGCTGCTTCTTGCCCTGGCAGCAAAAATAGTTAGTTCTGGTTCTGTACTCATGTAATGACAGGAGAAGACCAATCACGTGCCTTTCGGATCATCTATGTAGTAGGAAAATCGGCCGAAATCCCAGGTTGCAGTCTCTGCATTGAACACCCTGTTGAAGCGCAGCAGGCACAGCTCAACCATGGACCCTTTCAACAGACAAATCTGGTCCTCAATGGACAATTCTCTGAGAGAAGGGAGGGAGAAAGTAGCCCATTAACTGCTGAAATGCATGTGATGCTGAAAAAATATCAGATGTTCTTACTGTTATGGGTTTATACTTGATATGCCCAACTAGATTATAAGCTTTTTCTTTTTTTTCTTTTTGGTGAGGCTATTGGAATTAAGTGACTTGCCCAGGGTCACAGAGCTAGTAAGTGTCATGTGTGTGAGGCCGCATTTGAACGCAGGTCCTCCTGCCTCCACTACACCACCTAGCAGCCCCTGATTATAAGCTTTTTCAGGGTAGTTTATGGCTCATACTTTTTTGCATCTGCCACAGAACCTAAAGGTTTATACAAGGCAACAGTTCACTACTATAAAACATTTCTCAACATCTGCTGTGTACAGAGCACTGAGCTACAAAAATTTAATCTACAAACTTATAATCCAGAAGCAATTGTTTATTGAGTAATTGAACCCTTCTCATACTGTACAGTACCCTTCCTACTCCAGCCAGGCACAGCACTGGGCCTAAAGTCAGGAAGGCCTGAATTCAAATCTGACCTCCCACACTTAATAGCTGTGTGACCCTGGCTATTTAACTTCTGTTTGCCTCAGTTTCCTCAACTATAAAATGGGGATAATAAAAGCACTTATCTCCCAGGATTGCTGTGAGGAACAGGTGAAATAATAATTGTAAAGGTCTTAGCACAGTGCCTGGCACACAGTAAGTACTATGTAAACAGTAGCTATTGTTATTATTACTCTATCATCTCCTCCACTCTAAACTAAATAGATCTTCCCAATGATGTAGACGGTCATTGGTGGCCTGTGGCAGGGGGCTATGGTAATAGTTTATCTCAAGAATAGGCTTCTCAGAGCTAGTCCAGAGTTGATCCGAAGATGACATGGCTGGGGAGAGGAGCTCAAGTGGCCTGGCCACCTAAGAATGAGGGAGGTCCCTTGTAACTCTGTGTGGGGCTACCCTGAAGAAGGTCAGTCTGCCTTTCTCACCACTCCTGAAAAGGGAGAGAGGATACACCCCGTCAGAATGTTTTAAGGGCTAGGGGATATACTCTGAAATCTCTCTATAATTTCTTCCCTTGACAACAGATTTTCACTGGAACATAGCCCTTTCATTAACCATATTGGCTGTCATTCAAGGCACTACCCCATTTGTGGAATGAGGCTCCTACACGGAAGTGATAAAGGAATGTCCAGTGACCCGACTAGTGCAGTGTGGCACCAGTTCTTGAACCCTGGGGTGAGAGGATGAATCTCCAGGCCACTTTGAGCTTACAGATCAGGGGTCCTTTGGAGAATCTGTTCCTTGACCAAGGTAGCTTCTGTTCTGGGAGGTCTTAAAAGTGCCAAGAAACTACAACCTGGAGTGAACGAAGAGGCAGAGAAGAGGGAGTCTTGGGAGGGAACCTCAGGTCAGTCTGGAAGCTCCTGAAATTTCCTCAGGGTGGTTCAGAGGCTTACTCAGGGTTCTAACGATGTCCTTCTGCCCTGAGTCTGCTGAATCTCTGGGTCAAGTCCAGACCTCCAGTAGCAATGGTCCTTGGACATTGGATCTGAGAGTTGGAAGGGCCCTCAGAGGCCATTTATTCCAGTTCTTTCCCACAACATCCTCATCAAATGGTCATCTAGCTTTTGTCTGAAGTTCTTCAGTGACTGGCAACTCACTACCATCTCAGCTTGCATTATATAATACTACGCAATTAATCAATTCCACAGGGGGAAAACTCAGTCAAATTAGCTCAACTGTGTCAATTCAGTCAAAATGGTGGTTGATTCAGTAGGGCTATGTAGACATAGCTTATGTGGCTCTCTGGTGTAGGGACAGCACAAGAAAAGTATCACTGTGGCAATTCTCTCCACGTCTCTTTCTTTCTCTCTCTCTTTTTTTTTAGGCAATTGGGGTTAAGTGACTTGCCCAAGGCCACATAGCTAGTAAGTGCCAAGTGTTTGGTCTGAGGCTGGATTTGAACTCAGGACCTCCTGACTTCAGGGCCAGTGCTCTATCCACTGCACCACCTAGCTGCCCCTCACGTCTCTTTCTTTTTAACAACCTAGTATATTGTCCAACCAGCTCCCCATTCACTAGCAGGGATTCTCATCTCCCAATCTTTTCTGAACATGTTTGAGGAAACTAGGCAAAGGATGACAGTAGGACCACAAGGAGTAAGTCCAGCATAGTTTAGCACAGACCAGCTTAGCTCAGCCTAGTCTCCTCTTATCTCCAACAGCCTTGGAAGAAGCAAACCAGAAATGGGGGAAAATTCCCAGACCACCAAAGGAGCACAATTCAAATGAGCTTCCATTTCCCCACTGATCCATCTGTGTCCCTGACCACTAGGCATAGACATGTACATAACCTCTTGCCCATGGGTGCCCAAAACAATGACAAGGGACTTGATAGGTAGATTTGTGGGACAGGATAGAAAATGGATTCATCTCAATAGAATCTATTTCTATTCGATTATTAAAGTCAAAGCCTTTTCCATTCAACTCCAAAGGACATGTATGTGTTCTTACTCAAGAACCCAAGACCTGCTGCTCACGTATAAAGAAATCAAGCAGCCATCCATAGCCTTAACCTCCATTGCCAAACACAGTATCCCCTCCCCCAAGAGTGGTAGAAAGTGACCCCCAGGTTCTCATCATTCCCAAGCAAACTGCTGAAGGGTCTCTGAGGTTTATCCCAGGTCCAGGAGGTCATTGCCTCTGTTACTGGCAACAGAGTCCTGGATTTGGAATTGGAAGACCTGGATTCCAATCCTAACTCTGCTACTTATTCCCTGCATAACTTTGGGGAAGTCATTTACCATTTGAGGGCATCAGTCTCACCTGTATGATCAAGGAAGGGATTAGATAATTTCTAAGGTCACCTCCTTTAACAATCCATAAATTAAGTTGGCTTGGAGCCTCCTCCCTTTCCTCATGCCCCCAGTTATCGGCTGACTAGAAAGGGTAAGCATAGCATTGGTGGCAACATCATATGAACTCAGCACACCTGATGATAGCTTGCTTGCTCAATGCTAGGTAATCAACATTCCCTAGCCCAGTCTTCCCAATCCCCTCCTTAGGGACAAGTTGCCTGTGATCCTTTGTCTTGAGGGCCACTCTGCTCAGAGCTCCTTTCCAAATCTCTTCTACTCTCTAAATGACACCAAGTGGTCACAAATTTCCTTCCTCTTCATGGGAAAAACCTGAATCTTGGCTGGCCAAAAACAAATAGAGAGCCTTGAGGATACTGATATCTCATCCACATTCAGAGGAAGGAAGACCCACCTTAGAGCCCTTTAATCTCTGCCCTTACTAATTTCTCTAGCACTTAGCATAGTCACATAGTACTTGACACACAGTACTTAATAAATATTTGTTGACCACCTGACTGATGCCATTTTTTTGCCCCTTCCTATACCATCTTTCCCCAATATATCCCCATATCCTACCGGAAGCAGGGGATGACTTTGGCAAAATTGATGATGCCTTTAAACATGTAGGTTGACGTGTTGGCCACGTGGGGCAAAAAGGAAGCTATCATTTCCCTTGACCTGTCTCCTGAGTTTCTGTAGTTCCAAATGCTGCCATCTTCATGTTGTAGCCGCAGAGACATAGGGCAGAGACCTTTGGTGATACTGTTCCACTTGGCAGCTTCTTCCTCTGAACTGGCAATGGACTCGGGAATCTTAGGGTCACTGCTCTGTGCTTCAGGCCCCTGGGAAACAGATCATTACAGTAGAAGAGAAGAAGAGGGGAGGGGAGGGAAGAGGAAGGGAGGGAAGGTAACATAACAGAAGGAAAAGTATGGAAGGAAAAGTATGGGAGGAGAGGAAGCAGAGGAAAGAAAGCAAGGACATTTATGCCCATCAGTCACATTACACAGATATATACCAACCACATTGAATGTTAGCTGCCAGTACAAAGATGACTCTAGATGTGTATGCACATATTGCCCATCTTGGCAAGCACACTGTATGAAGATATTTCTGTGTAGGAAAAAAGACAGTATGGTGCAGTCCAAAGTGTTTTTGACTGAGAGTCAGGAAACCTGGGATTAAATCCCAGTAACTAATAGCTATATGAACAACTAGATGACTTGAAATCAGGAAGATCTGAGTTCAAAACCAGCCTTAGACACTTACTAGCTGTGTGATCCTAAGGAGGTCAACCTCTGACTACCTCAATTTCTTCACCTGTAAAATGGGGGAAATAATGGCACCTACCTCCCAGGATTGTTGTATGGATCAAATGAGATAGCACATGAAAATGCTTTCCAAGTCTTAAAGCACTACATAAACACTAGTTATCATCATCATCATCATCATCATCATCATCATCATCATTATTATCTTATGTCTTTGAGCCTCATTTCTATCATCTGTAAAATGAGGAGACTGGATTATATCATAGTCTCTAAGATCCTTTTACTTCTCACCTTTTAGCCCTAACATGGAGCTATCACTTTGGACCATACTGTGCCATGTTCTCAGAGTAAAGAAATAAATCATAAAGAAGCCTGTGACTACTCAAACTTGCAGGTCCAGAGAAGCCTGACAGTACATTAAGCATATCACATGCCCCTAGCCCTAAGGGAGGATTACTTCATTTACAGCTTAGACCCAGTTCCATATCACTTGCCTGAGTTGTGGGGATGAGGAACAAGGTTTGCTAATAGTACAATGAAGGATGCTATTCTGAAGCACCAAATGCTTAATTCTCTTACCCAGTTATTCTTAAGATGGGAGAATGTGGGGTCAAAGGTTTTCTTCTGAGCCTCCAGGAGCTCCAAGATCATTTCTGCTGCTCTTCTGTTAATTCCTTGACTTCCAGAGCCTGACTCCCCAACTGTTCTCTCTTATTTCTCTTGATCCGGGCTCTCCTCTGTTCCACTGCTGCATCAGACATGATCACTGCACAAAAGGGAGAAGAGGAGCTGGCTTAGGGAAAATCTATTCCCTTAACGCTTGAATACCACCAGGAGCAAATGCCCTGAGCTATTGAGCTTGGGATCATTCTCCTTTCCCCAGGCCACCCCAGCCACATGTACTAAGCATGTGCTAAGCTCAGGAATAACTACATATTATCACCAGCTCACCCTCCTCTAAAGTCAGAAAGATTATGGATTCCATAAAGGAAAATCTAAATTACCTCAGCTATCTGAGCTAGAGGGAGCTATAGGTAGTGACTTGAGTTTGGGGTGGCAATTGAAGAGAAGAAAATCTAGCTGGGCCTACTTACAGCAAGAGAAGAGTATAAGGAACCTCCTTTATTAGTTTCTGGCTTGGAAGCACTCTCTACTCTGAATCACCAAAGTCATGGAGATGTTGACCTCTAAGAACTTCCACCATTGTTTTTCTGAGTTCCACAGTTCTCAGTACTGTTCCAGCAAAGGGAGGTATGAGTTGTACCCTCCCCTGGCCATTTTCTGTTGAGCACAGATCTATAGGGTCTGTACTGCATTGGGGCAACAAGATGGTGTATTCAGAGTGCCTCAGTGCCTGGCACAGTGCTTTGCGCATAATAAATTCTCAGTAAGTATTTGCTGATTGACTGAATCTGTTGAGAGCTCAGCAAGATTAGGTACTAGTGGAAAATAGGGCAAAGATCATGGTACTACCAGTATGATCTCAAATTAATTTGCATAGTAACCAAAGGCATCATGATAGGGAACAACAGAAAGGAATCTCTCCATTCCAGTTTCATCCAACTCCTTTGCAGTTTTGCTAAGTGGAGTCGCTGAGATGATTTGAAGGGTTCTTAGCAACCAAGGGACATAATAAGAGTCAGGAGGAATTTTAGACCATAGCTAATAAGAAAGTCTAAACTCAGGGACACTGAGCAACAATAAAAGAAATGGTGTTCAAAAGACAAAATTTCTAAAGACTTCTTTAGCTAGATGGCTGGGTACAATTGGGGTTCACATCACATAAAAGCTAAAGATTGCCTCTGGGGAGAAGAAAATCCATGACAGTAGTCCTAGTGATGACAGCAGAGCAAGAAGCTGAAAAAACAAACAAATAAACAAACAAACAACAACAACAACAACAACAACAACAAAAACCCTGTCACAACTGAAAACCTGCAGAAGGCAGTGGGTCAGCTAGGAGCCACCTTACAACTGATGGCCAGCAGAGAGCAGTAAAGAGCAGCAGCTCAGCAGGAAAGCCTGGCAGAGAACAAGTTGGTGGGAAGGACCACTAGAAAGAGAGCAGAAAACAGTTTGATGACATCACCAAGGGGCACCAGGGACGCTACAGCATCAGAGAAGTGAGTTTCCCTGGTCATGTGTATTTAGCCATGGATGTTCTCTATGGGTATGTCAGGCTGAGTGTATTGCCTGGCCACATGTATGTGTTCTCTCATCATGTGTGTTCCTTGTACATGTCTACTTCTCTGCTGGTTGTGTGGTAACCTATCAGAGAATGTACCCTCATATATACATGGGAGATCTTTCTTGTCATTTATGTTATTATGCTGGTTGACTAAACATCCTTTTATCTGAATATGTTCTTTGGTTGGCCTGCTAAAAATAAACATATTGGTGGGGGCTTATGGGCTATCATTTTGAATGGATACTGACCCACAAAGTGTATCCAACCAAAGGTAGCTTTCTTTCTTTTTTTTGTGCACTATATATTTAGTATTTTATTTTTCTCCAGTTACATGTAAAAACAATTTTTAACACTCATTTTTAAAACTTTAAGTTCCAAATTATCTTCCTTCCTCCCTCCTCATCCCCCCTCTCCCATTGAGAAGGCTAGCAATTTGATATAGGTTATACATGTGTAGTCATGCAAAACATTTCCATAATAGTCATGTTGTGAAAGAAAACATAGACCACAAAAAAAACCCTCAAGAAAAATAAAGAAAGTTTAAAAAAAAGTATGTTTCAATCTGTATTCAGACACCATCAGTTCTTTCTCTGGGGATGGAAAGTATTTTTCATCATAAGTCTTTCAGAGTTGTCTTGGATCATTGTATTGCTGAGAATAACTAAGTCATTCACAGACAATCATCGCACAACATTGCTGTCACTTTGTACGCAGTACATTTCACTTTGCATCAGCTCATGTAAGTGGTTCCAGGTTTTTCTGAGAGCATCCTACTCAATCATTTCTTATAGCACAATAGCATTCTATCATAATCCCATACCACAATTTGCTCAGCCATTCCCCAACTTATGGGCATCCCCTCAATTTCCAATTATTTGCCCCCCCAAAAGAGCTGCTATGAATATTTTTGTACATATAGGTCCTTTTCCTTTTTTTTTTTAATCTCTTTTGGGATACAGACTTAGTAATGGTATTGGTAGATCAAAGGGTATGAGCCCTTTGGGCATAGTTTTAAATTTCTCTACAGAATTGTTGATTCAGTTCACAACTCCACCAACAGTGTATTAAGGTCTCATTTTTACCACATCCCTTCCAACATGTGCCATTTTCTTTTTCTGTCATATCAGCCAATCTAATAGGTATGAAGTAGTACCTTAGAATGGTTTTAATTTGCCTTTCTCCAATCAATAGTGAGTTAAACCATTTTTTCATAAGGCTATAGGTAGCTTTGATTACTTCATCTGAAAACTGTTCATATCTTTTGATCCTTTATCAATTGGGGAATAGCTCTTATTTTTATAAATTTGACTCAGTTCTCTATATGTTTGAGAAATGTGGCCTTTATCAGAGAAACCTGCTTCAAATTTTTTTTCATTGTTACTATTAATAAATGTATTTCCCTTCATCCTATTTCCCACCCCATTTATTCTATTCCCTCTATCCTTTTACCCTCTCCCTTCTCCAATGTGTTTTGTTTCTGACTATCCCTTCCCCCAATCTGCCCTCCCTTCTATCACCCCACTTCCTTCTCTTATTCCCTTCCCCTCCTACTTTTGAGTGTGTATATCATTCCTTCTTCGAGCCAATTCTGATGAGAGTAAGGATCACTCACTTCCCCTCACCTCCCCCCTCTTCTCCTCTACTGTAAAAGTTTTTTATTGCCTCTTTCATGTGAGATAATTTACCCCATTCTGTTCTCCCTTTCCCTTTCTCTCAATACATTTGTCTCTCAACCTTTAATTTTATTTTTCAGACACCATCCCTTCATATTCAACTCACACCTGTGCTTTCTGTCTATATATATATATATATATATATATATATATATATATATATATACTTCTAACTACCCTAATAATGAGAAAGTTCTTATGAGTTACCAGTATCATCTTTCCATGTAGGAATGTAATTTTATTGTCTCTTATGATTTCCTTTTCCTGTTTACCTTCCTATGCTTCTTTTGAGTCTTATATTTGAAATTCAAATTTTCTATTTAACTCTGGTCTTTTCATCAAGAATGCTTGAAAGTCCTCTATTTCACTGAATATCCATGTTTTTCCCTGAAGGATTATATTCAGTTTTGCTGGGTATGTGATTCTTGGTTATAATCCTAGCTCCTTTGCCCTCTGGAATATCATGATTATTCCAAGCCCAGTGACCCTTTAATGTAGAAGCTGCTAAATCTTGTGTTATCTTGATTGTGGCTCCATGATACCTGAATTGTTTCTTTCTAGCTGCTTGCAATATTTTCTCCTTGACCTAGGAACTCTGGGATTTGTCTATAATATTCCTGACAGCTTTCATTTTGGGATCTCTTTCAGGAGGTGATCAGTGGATTCTTTCAATTTCTATTTCACCCTCTAGAATATTTATGGCATGGCAGTTTTCCTTGATAATTTCTTGAAAGATGATGTCTAAGCTCTTTTTCTTTTTTATCATGGCTTTCAGGTAGTCCCATAATTTTTAAATGCTCTCTCCTGGGTCTATTTTCTAGCTTAGTTGTTTTTCCAATGAGATATTTCACATCGTCTTCTATTTTTTTTTCATTCTTTTGGTTTTGTTTTATTGTTTCTTGATTTCTCATAAAGTCATTAGCTTCTATTTGCTCAATTTTAATTTATAAGGAATTATCTTCTTCAGTGAGCTTTTGTACCTCCTCCTTTTCCATTTGTCCAATTCTATTTTTTAAGGAGTTTTTTCCTTCAGTGAATTTTTGTGCCTCTTTTTCCATTTGGCTAATTCTGCTTTTTAAGGTATTCTTCTCCTCATCGGACTTTTGTAACTCTTTTACCATTTGACCTAGTCTGTTTTTTTTTGTGTGTGTGTCTCCTTTACCAAGCTGTTGTTGACTTGTTTTTCATGATTTTCTTTGCATCACTCTCCTTTTCCTTTCCAATTTTTCCTCTATCTCTCTTACTTGATTTTCAAAATCCTTTTTGAGCTCTTCATATTTTTCTTGGAGGCATTGGACTTTGTTGGAGCTTTCACTGTTGTCTTTTGAGTGTGTGTTTTGTTCTTTCTTGTCACCATAGTAACTTTCTATGGTCAGAATTTTTTTCTGTTGTTTGCTCATTTTCCCAGCCTATTTCTTGACTTTTAACTCTTTGTTAAATTAGGGTTCTGCTTCCAGTGTGGAGGGCACACTGTCCCAAGATTCAGGGGTTTTATACAGTTGTTTTCAGAGATACTTCTAGGGACCTGTAAGTTTTCAGTTCTTCCAAGGGGGGGATGATCTAAGGAGAGGCATTTACTCCTTTCCTGGCCTGTGTTTTGGTCTGTGAGCAACCATAAGCACTCTTTTTTGCCCTGGAACTGTGGGGAGGGTCCCTGCTCCACTGGTATGACAGTACTCCTCTACATCCTGGGGCTGCCACCCAGGACTGGGACCCAGATCTGAGTATAGGCAAAACAACAGAGTCCTGCCTCAGTGCTAGGAAAGAGACCCCTGTAATCTCCTTCTAACCAGTTGTTCAACCTCCTTGTCATTTGTGGGCTGAGAGCTCTGGAAGCAGCTGCTACTACTAATCCAGTGGCTCCCGAGGCCTGTTCCTGGTTTGCTGGGGCTGGGGTTGTGCTGGCATAGCCTGCACTGGGACTGTGCTCCACTCTCACCCAGATGTAACAGACTTTTCCTGCTGATCTTCTAAGTTGTCTTTGGTATCTGTGGGCTGAGAGGTCTGAAAACTACCACTGCTACCACTGACTCAGTTGCCCTGAGGCATACTCTATGTTTCCTGGAGCCTGGTCTGCACTGCATTGTACTCCTCTCTCACCCTCGTGCAACAGACCTTTCCTGCTGACTTTATAAGTTGTCTTGGGCTAGAAAATTGTTTCACTCTGTCTTTTTGTGGGTTCTGCCACTCTACAATTTGTTTAGAGTCATTATTTAAATATATTTGGAGGGGTTTGAGGGAGAGCTCAGGAGAGTTGTTGCCTTTACTCTACCATCTTGGCTTTGCCTCCAAGTGTAGCTTTATAAGGGTCCATGTTACAAATTAATGAAGAATGAATGAATCTACAATGGGAGAGGATAAAGGGTATGGTCATATTGCTTGTGTCTGGAAGATTTCACACTGTTTGATTCTCAGCCTTTTGCCTTCCCCATAAAGTTTGGCTATCTGCGGAACATTCCATCTTTCATTCTCTCCTTCTATCCAGAGAGAACTAGATATCTCCAACCTGAGAGCAACTGAAAGACCCTGGAGGAAAAGTCAATCTGTTAATACAAATTAGAAGCACCATGGTTCTTTCAGGAGATCCTAGGAAGTCCTCTGGTTTGGAGGGGCAGACATGGAAGAGTGTGTGTGTGTGTGTGTGTAGGGATGGGTCAGGCCCTGCCACAATCCAGCTGAGAACATGGATTGGGGCTTGGATAATCATATGGTTGAGGCCAACTTCTTTAGGATGGAGCCCTTGAAGCTTGTCAACTCACCACTAGAAGGGGGAAGCATAAACATTCTTTGGCTCTCTAAGCAACATGGATCAGAGACAGCAGCCCAGGCAGTCAAACCACCTTCCTCCTATCTCCAGAGGGGTAGGACAGGTCCAAATAAATGAGTTGGGTCCAAGTAGAGAAAAGAGTGGGGTGGGGGGAGGGAGGAGGCAGATGGAAGAGGGAGGACCAAGAAATAGAAGGGGAGGGATGGATTAAAGATTAAATCCCTAAATGAATGCGGCCCCTAGGCTCTGTACCTTAAACTACTCTCCCCTATATTTAAAAAAGTTTTTAAAAGAACATCAAAGACATACTTAAAAGGCAAAAGAAGTCAATGGCAGTGTGCAGCCCAGATGATTTCCCACTTTACCATAAACTCATCTTCATTATAGAATATCAGTAGGAAGGGATTTTGGATCATCTATAGCTCAGGAGTCCTTAACCTGGGGTCTGGAAACTTGTTCATTTTAAAAAAAATTATAATTATCTTACAATATAATTAGTTTCCTTTGTAATCCCCAATTTTATTTTGTGCATTTAAAAAAAAACATTATTCCAAGAAGGGGTCTACAGGCTTTATGAGACTGCCAAAGGGGTCCATGATATCATAAAGATTAAGAGCCCCATTCTGTAGTCCAACATCTTAGTTTTACAAATGAGGAAACTGAGGCCTAGAGAGATGAAGTGACTTGCTCAACATGACCTAGGGAGTGCCATGGTCTTGGTCACTGAGTTGTATGAGACAGCTCATTCCCCTCTCTCTCAGCAATCTTGTCACTGCTCCCCTTAAGACTGCCCCCATAATTGTGCTAGTAGCCTAACACAGACGCCTCTGTGGGAAGCACACACTTTGCCAATTCAGAAAATCTTTACCAATGGCCAACTCTGTGTGAGTATCTGTGGTAGAAAGATGAACAAGTTGTTTATACTGACTATTGTTTAAATGGAGAGAGAAAGAGAGAGAAAGAGAGAGAGGAGAGAGAGAGAGAGAGAGAGAGAGAGAGAGAGAGAGAGAGAGAATGAGAGAGAGAGACTCATTTATCAGTTTCAGTGCTTACTTTCCTTCCTCATTCCGCTATCCAGGCACTTGCGAAGCCGGCAGGCCTGGCACTGCTTCCGAGTCTTCTGGGTGATTACACAAGTGCCCTTCCGGAAGGGGCATCTCAACCGGACATTACGTTTCACGATTCGCCTGTAGGAAGAAAAAGAGAAGGTGGTACTAGGATTAGCACCAGACTGGAATGGTAAATTTGGGCTCCTTCCATCAGTACACATAGGAGCTCTGGGTCTCAGGAAGTCCTGATCAGCCAGGGGGAGCCATCCTTCCAAGCAGAGCCTTCACTGGGAATATTTTCATCTGTGGCAAAAACAGTTGAGGGAAAGGAAAATGGATAGTGGCATAGAGGATAGCTCGACTGTTGGCATAACTCCACCAAGAGAGGAGTCTGACCCTTGCCCTCACAAGGATTTTGGAGGAAGGTGGGTTCCACAAGAGGGGTGACGTGTGGTTATATTACTTCTCAATCTCCTGTGCTGAGTCATCATTCTTGCCATAACCACCAACTGTGAGCATACCCCCAAGTTTTTGCCCTGAACCACCTTCTCTTCTCTCCCTATACTTTCCCCTTTAATGACCTCACCAGCTTACATGGGTTCAATTATCATCTGCATACATCTGACTCCCAGGTCTACATGTCCTGTCCAAGTTTCTCTCCTAAGCTCTAGTCTTTCATCACCAACCATCTATTGGTCATTTCCAAGTGGATGTCCCATACATGCACCAAACTCAACAATTCCAAATCAGAACACATTATTTTTCCTTACATACCTAGACCTCTTCTGACCTTCTCTATTACCATTGAGGATAACATTATTCTTCCAGTCACCCAGACTTGTAGCCTTAGTGTCATTCTCAACTCCCTCTCCATATATGGAATCAGTTGCCAGATTTTGTCATCTCTACCTCCACATCCTTTACATCCTTCTGCTCATATGGCTACTACCCTAGTTCAGGCCCTTATTGCCTTGTCGAGACTGTTGCAATGATTTACTATTCTGTTTCTCTGATTTATGCCTCCCTCCCACTCTATCCATGTTCCACGTAGTCATCAAAGTGATTTTCCTGAAACTATAGTGATTTCCTAAAGCACAAGTCTGGTCATGCCACCCTCCCTTCTCACTCCCAGGGTTAATAAATTCCAATGGCTTCCTATTGACTTTAGGGTCAAATATAAACTGCTGTTCAACATTTAAATCTGTACACCCTGGCCCTTTCTCATCTTTCCAGTCTTCTTACATATTCTCCCATCCTCACACTTCATTACAGTCTTGCTTCTTGGTCATTCTGACTGACTTGCTGTTCTGCACAAAAAACACTCCATCCCCCATCTTTTGACCTTTATACAATGATTGTCCTCTAGGCAGCTAGGAATATACTCACATCTCACATGAATCTCTTGGTTTTCCTTCAAGATTCAGTTCAAACACTCATTTGTTCCAAAAACAATGAAAAAATAAACAAAACCCTACAAAGTATAGATACAGAAGGATCTTTTTAATATCATAAAAAATGTGTTCAAAATCAAAAGCAAACATGATATGCAAAGGGGATAGACTAGAACTGTTCCCAATAAATACAGGAGTAAAGCAAGGATGCTCACTCTCCCCACTGTTGTTTGATATAGTTTTGGGAATGGAAGCAATAGAGTAAGACAAGAGAAAGAAATTAAAGGCATAATGATAAATAAAGTAGACTGAACACTATCCCTATGGTTTACTTGAAAACTCCTAGGAAACCAGCAAAGATGCTAAGAGACAACAGTTTCAGCAAAGTTGTAGGCTCCAAAATAAAGCCTCAAAAATCACATCCATTTCTATGTAATAACTGGATGATTACAAAATCCAAGAGGAAATAATAGAAAGGGAAATTGCAGAATCACAGTTGGAAGGAACTTCTGAGACCATCAGAGCTATAGCTTAAGCCTAACCTGAACAAGAATCTTGCTGCATTTAATCCCTTGCTTGATGACCTCCAGTGAGGAGGAACTTCCTACCTCCCAAATGCAGCCCATTCCTTCCAAAGAAGTGCATATAAAAGATGAATTTCTGTTACTGCAAGGTAAGAAATTATGGAGACTAAAGAAAAATGGTAAGACTTATTTATTTATTTATTTTGCTTTTTGGTGAGGCAACATAAGGGTTAAGTGACTTGCCCAAGGTCACACAGCTACTAAATGTCAAGTGTCTGAGGTCAGATTTGAACTTCAAGGCCAGAGCTCTACCTACTGCACCACTTAGCTGCCCCCGGTAAAACTTACTTAAACTGATATAGAATGATGTAGCCAGAACCAGGAGAACAACATATATGATGTATGCAATAAAGTAAAAGAATAGATCACTGAAAGGGCTGAATCCTGAGTAATTGTAATCACCAGTCTTGTAACACCCTCTTGGCAGAGAGGTGGGTGACTACAAGGGCAGAATGTTGCTTATGACCAGATTCGGTTACTGAGTTAAGTTTTGTTTTCTTTTTTGCTTAGCTGTCTGATGGCACTAGTGGTAGTAGTGGTGTGTTACATCCAGAAATGCCTAGATTATAAAAATAAAAGATATCAATAAAAATGAAAAAAAATACCTGCAGTAGACAGAATGACTTGTCCAAGGTCACACAGTAAATGGCAAATATCAGATTTGAGTCTAGGTCTTGTCTATATAGTGTCCTCTATCTCTGCTGATCTTTTACATTTCATAGGGAAAGAAAACCAAACATGGTGAAAAAGTACTATTTCAGCTGTTACCACTGAATTTCTTTTCCCTCTAGAACCAGATAAGGAGAATAAGAAGAAAACAGCCAGTGTATTCTTTTCTTTTCTTTTTTATTTTTAAGCAGTTGGGGTTAAGTGACTTGCCCAGAGTCACACAGCTAGTAAGTGTCAAGTGTTTGGTCTGAGGCCAGATTTGAACTCAGATCCTCCTGACTTCAGGGCCAGTGTTCTATCCACTGCAGCTCATTCCTTAAGAACAAATTTTTCATTCTTTAACCCACCTATTCATGGTTTGGTTCGTAAGTTTCGTAAGCTTCCACTCAGGAAAATGGGTATATTTTTATGATAACTTGCAATGTATTCTGTGACCTACCCCATCAGAGATTTCTTTAGCTACAGCAGCTCTCCCCAGGATAGGCTCCTTCAAGCAAGGCTGCCTTCCCCTTTCCTCCTTCCCCCTTCCCCAATTGCTGCCAAGCAACAGCCTTCCATCTCCTTGTAAGGATGGCCCTGTAGGCAGTGTTTCCATGGAGACAGACGGTCTCCTCTCCCTTTGTCCAGCACTGGGCACATGAGTAAGGAAAAGAGATTCTTCTAAAGGAGTGGTCAGAAAGAAACCTTAAACCTGAATCCCAGGTATAGAGGTAGAAAGGGACAATCCACATAAGCTCCCCATGAAGGGCTGGGGACCATGGAAGAATTGTCAGGGAGGGAAGGGAAGGAAAGCCCTCCTACCTCCACCACCCTTCACTACTCTGAGCATATTCACCTATTAATCCAGCAGGATTCTCCTATCTCACCACAGTGAGAAAGAGGCTAAGAGATCAATTACCTTTACCAAGGTTGAAGGAACAGCTAGAATACCTGGGACTTTGAGACAGCTTTAAAATGGTGAGAATCTGTAATGTGTCAAGGCAACAGGTCCCATAACCACATACCTCTGTCTTGTTCTACAATACCCCTTCAGATAGCTAGCAGGAAAAGAAGAGAGAGGGAGGGTGGTAGGTGAGTAGGCCATGCAAGAAATAAGCACAGTTAGAAGAGCTCAGAGCTCCTGCCTGGGAGACAGTTAAGAAAAAATAGGCCATGAGAGGTCAGACTTATTGGTAAGGTCTAGTTCAATTTACATTCCACTATATTATACTGAATTCGAAATGAGATAGGTCAAAAGGCTTTGGAAGCATAAATTCAGAGGCTCAGACCTGCTTAAGGGTATTAGTGGAGGAAAGAACTGAGTAGAGAGCAGGTTCAGAGCAGTGACCAAACCTTGTATCAAATGTGAGAACCGTAGGAGCAGGAGGGAGTGACTAGACCATTCCCCCCACACCTTTGCCTCTTGTTTGGGGCAACAGCCCTTTGTGATGGCAGAGGAGGAGAAATCAGTGCAGCCGGGATTCCCCAGCAACTATTCCAACAAAGATCTCAGATGAACACCAAACTGAATAGTGATCAGAAAGCTAAGAAAAAAAAAACAGTGGGTGATCTGTCTAGCACAAGAGCACAAATTTGGCCCACTAGCAATTTTTTTTGATCCCACTAGCAAATTATTTTATGGAAGTTAGGTGGCACAGTGGATGGAATGCCTGGCTTTGGAATCAGGAAAACTTATCTTCCTGAATTCAAATCTGACCTCAGACACTTCCTAGCTGTGTGACCCTGGGCAAGTCACTTAACTCTGTTTGCCTCAGTTTCCTCATGTGTAAAATGAGCTGAAGAAGGAAATGACAAACCACTCCAGTATTTTTGCCAAGAAAACCCCAAATGGGGTCACAAAGAGTTGAAAACAATTGAAACAATTGAACAAAAAACAAATGAGTATGGCAGGAACTGGTGGAACATGACAGGGGGCGGGAAAAGGGGAAAGATCAGGAACTCTAATCTAAGAGAAGAGATCTCAGAGTCAGACCCTGAGAGAAAAACAAGGGTGCAGTGTTATTGCTCTGACCCTAGCAGTAAGGCCTTGATGGTTCTACTGGAAGTGTACAGAGCCTAGCCCTAAAACAAAGATACAAACCCAGAAGAGAATAGTTCCAAAACATCTACAAGCAAAACCTCAAAGAAAACGCATCTTGGTCAAAAGATCATTTAGAATTCCTAGAAGAAATGAAGTAAGAATTGTTTATGAGAATATAAATTAAAAGAGAACATTCTTTCCTAAAATGAGAGGAAAGAAACAAAAGCAATGGAGGAAAGTCTTGGTGAAAAACAACAACTGTGAGCATTATTCCTCACACTACCCCTATGACTAACAAATTCCACTACCTATAACTCTTCCCTGTGCCTGTACTACTGAATTAATGACCACATAGGAACAAACTATTCTCAATCCTCACTTCTCATTCTCTTGTCCCTATTCTCTTTAACAATACTCCACCCGTCTCCCTCTCCAAGCCTGCCCACCTCTTCCACTGTGCCCTCTGAAATTCCTATTCCATAGTGAATAGACTTATTTTCATTCTGGATTTCTTTCTCTAATACTCTTTCAATCTACTTGCCCTCACTGATTACTGGCTTCTTCCCCCACTTTGCAATCTGGCTTGTATCCCCATAACCCAACTAAAACTACTGTCTCCAAAGTTGCCAATGTTCTCTTTATTGCCAAATCTGATGGCTTTTTCTAGGTCTTCATCCTTTTTCATCTATCTGCTGAACAGGATGCCATTGACCAACCTCTTCTCCTACATAATCTCTTCTCTATGAGTTTTTGAAACATTGCTCTCCTTGGTCTCCTCGGTCTCCTTTGCAGGCTCATCATTCATATCACACATTTTGGAGAGTATGGGCATTCTCCAAAGTTCTGTTCTGGTCTTGGGTCTTGCATCACCAACGGCCTTTTGTACATTTCAAATGAGATTTCTGTCCCAAAGACACTTAAAGCTCAACATATCCAAAATTGAACTCATGATCTTCCCTTTCCCCAATGCAACTATTTCTCATGAAGACACTACCATTTATCTAGTCGCCCAGGTTGGAACCTTGGTGTCATCTTCAACAATTCACTCTCCCTTACACCACATATTGTCACCAGGCAATCACAACCTCATGAAACTTACGTAAAAACTAAGTTTATCACAAGAAAAATGAACATGCATATGGAACCCAAAGAGTTCACAATCCATACAGAAGTTTGTATTTTTATAACAGTAGGACAAAGGGAGGAAGAGATGCCAGAAATCTTTACCTAAAAGGGCATGGCATGGGAGGAGGAAAGGGGCAATAAAGGTAGGAAACAGACAAAACCCCCTAGGTGATGGCAAAAACCACATTCTTTTCCCTTGTGAACTGCTATGGCCTCAAGGTCACATGTGGCCCTCTAGGTCCTCAAGTGCAGTCCTTTGACTGAATCCAAACTTAACCTACAGCCTCGAGGCCACACGTGGTCCTCTAGGTCTTGTCAGCTCAGGAGGAGCTTTGTCTTTGATACATTCAGGGCCTCCTACATACTCTGGGTCCAGTATTTCTGGAAAATATGGCAACTCAAAAAGACAAACCCCTTAACGTTATCCAATCAATGGTCAAATCTTGCCATTCCTATCTCCAACATCATCTCTCATACATGAACATCCCTCTATTTACACATCCAGGACTCCAGTTCAGGGCCTCATCCTCTCTCATCTAGATCATCTCAATAGTATCACAATTAGTCTACTTTACTTGAGCCTCTCACCAGTCCAGCCTATCCTCCATTGAACTGCCAGGGTGTTGGGTTTTTTTTTTTTCTAAAGCAGAGATCTGACCATGTCACCACCATACTAAGTAAACTGACATGGCTTCCTGATGCCTCTGTGTTAAAACACAAACTTTTCTGTTGAGTGTGTTAAAACCCTTCACAAATTGGCCCCAAACTACCTTTCCAGGCTTATTGGCCATTTATCCTCCTCCCACTCTGTAAGATCCAGCTAAGCTGTACTTCTCTTGTCCTCACACATGGTATTTTATATCTCAATTCTCGTACTTTGCGTTAACTGTCTCCCATACCTAGAAAGCACTCCCTCCTCCCCTCCACCACCTAGAATCCCTCTCTTTCTTCAAGATGCAGCCTAAGCACTACTTTCTCCAGGAGGCTTTTCCTGATTACCCAATTACTAACACTATTTCTGCCTGACTACTCTGTGCATACTTACATATGTAAGCTTCTTGAGAATAGGGATTATTTCAGAATTTTTTTGCATCCCTAGCATTTAGCAGAGTGTGGGACACACAGAGTAGGTGCTTTACAAATGCTTGTACATTGATTGAGGAGGAGGAAGTTTTTAATTTCTTAATTACCATGATACCAGAATCTAGGTTTCTAGTCAGAGAAAGGAAATGTTTTGGGAATTGCCAGCCTCAGGGTTTGCTTAATGGATAACCTCAACTCTGAGAAACCTGAGAGCCAGGCTTATCCACAGAAGGAACATTTCTGAGGCAGTCAGTATAATCCCTCCAACCCACACTGGGGGACTGGAGTAAGTTTCTGGTGGAAGAGTTAGTCAAGAAAACCAAAATACAGGCTTAAATTTATAGGCAGCATAGCTGTCCCTTTGCATAGGAAAATAAAATAAGGAAACACATATTTAGTTTAGAGCATAATGCCTTTTCCTATTTGTAAATATTAAAGAAGAATTCCAAAAGATGAAATTGATGAAACTGGACAGCTACTGCTGGTAGGAACTGCATGTGGCAGCTGTTACAAAGGCAGAGCTGTCTTTTATCAAAACACTGTAAGCAATGGAAAGCTACAAAAAAATCAGCAGTAACAGGCAACTGGGTTGTATTTTCTTTCTTTCTTTCTTCCTTCCTTCCTTTCTTTCTTTCTTTCTTTCTTTCTTTCTTTCTTTCTTTCTTTCTTTTCTTTGTTTCTTTCTTTCTTTCTCTCTTTCTCTCTTTCTCTCTTCCTTTCCTTCTTTCCTTCCTTCTTTCTTTCTTCTTTCTTTCTTTCTTTCTTTCTTTCTTTCTTTCTTTCTTTCTTTCTTTCTTTCTTTCTCTTTCTTCCTTCTTTCCTTCCTTCTTTCTTCCTTTCTTTCTTCCTTTCTTCCTTTCTTCCTTCCTTCCTTTCTTCCTTCCTTCCTTTCTTCTTCTTCTTTCTTCTTTCTTTCTCTTTCTTTCTTTCTTCTCTTTTCCTTCCTTCTTTCTTCCTTTCTCTTCTTTCTCTTTCTTTCTTTCTTCTTTCTTTCTTTCTTCTTCTTTCTTTCTTTCTTTCTTTCTTTCTTTCTTTCTTTCTTTCTTTCTCTCTCTCTTCCTTCCTTCCTCTCTTTCTCTCACTTTCTCTCTCTCTCTTCCTTCCTTCCTCCTTCCTTTGTTCTTTCCTTTCTCTCTTTGTCACTCCATCTGATTCTCTCTTCACAACAGTCCTTATATCCATCTGTCTTCTTCTCTTCCCTCACACAGCCTACCCCCTCATTCAAGTCCTCCTTACCTCTTGCCTGAGCTGGAGCCAAAGCTCCCAGTTGGTCTCCCAGCATCTATTCTCTCTCCTTTAAATCCATCTGAGGCATTGCTCAAGCATAGGTCTGACTGTGTCGCTCCCCTCCTTGGGCAGCACCAAGGGTGAGATTTTTGGAAGCAAACTTTCCAGGAGACAAGAGGGCATTTCCTGAGCAACATCACTTTAGGGGGAAAAAGGTCCCCTGCATGGTCCCACGGTGAAAGCAGCAGTGAGGATTAAAGCTACGAGGGGACAGGAGGGAAAGGGTGCGCCTTGGTCCTTCTTCCTCCATGTCTTCTCCCAATGCCTTCCCACAATCATTGTGAATTTTTTGGACATAGCAGTTCCGATGGAAAGAAGGATGCCCGTCTTGTCCAACAGCCCCAAGGTTTATTTGCTTTTTTAGGGGAATCCAACCCACAGGGGTTGCTAGAGTACTTGAGGTGACTGTATAAGACCGTTGGGGAGAATCAGGGATTCACCAGAAGGGAACAAGCATTTATTAAGTGCCTACTGTGTGCCAGGTACTGTGCTAAGTGCTTTATAAACATCCTGTCTGATACGCACAACAACCCTGGGAGGCAGGTGCTATTATTATCCCCATTTTACAGTTGAGGAAACTAAGGCAGACAGAGGTTAAGTGACTTGCCCAGGGTTATACAGCTAGTAAGGATCTGAGGCTGGATTTGAACTCAGATCTTCCTGACTCCAGGCCCAGCTTTCCATCCACTACACCACTTAGCTGCCTCTGAATATGAGTGTTTCTTCAATGGCAGCTACAAGTTCAGTTCCTTCTTAGGGGTAAAATTCTGAGATCTCAGATTTGGAGCTGAGAGGGACCTTAGAGATTATTAAATACAACCTCCATGTTTTCAGGGGGAGAAAACACAGGCACAGAAAGATTAAGTCACATAGCTAACATAAGTGTCAGAGGCAGGATTTTCACTTAGGCTTTCCTGACTTCAAATCCAACTTTCTGTGGACAGTTGTGAATGTGTTATGTATTTTTTCTCGACTTTTATGAGCTACTGTGTCCTTTGCATCTTCTTACTTTGCAGTGGGGTAAAAGAAATGCCATCTTCCACTCCCTTATGAGTTTTATTTGTTACCCTGAGTATTTATATGGGAACTGGGGACCATATTATTTATTTTTAGGAAACTATAGGCGGGAGGTAAAATATATTTGGAGATTTTCTTGGAATAAACTCTGGATGTGTGCAATAAACAGAGAAAGAGAAAATGACCTTTTTGTGACCCCAGGGTAAGACCCACTTGATCTGAGCCCAGATTCTTTAGAGATCCCTAGGGCCACGAGTTATACATTAATATACTTTTAGTAGTATTTTTATTTTTAAAAAATTCTAAACTTTTAATTTTTCAAAGTGCTTTCACATCTATCATTATATCTTCATAGATTATCCCCATTTGAAAGATGAGGTCACATCTTAGGTTTGTGGCATAGCCAGACCAGAACCTGGTTGCTTTCTGTTTCAATAAGGTTAGTGGTGAAAAGATAGTCACTGGTGTGGTGACTCTACCTGAAAAATCCCTTGCACCCTTCACAGGTCATGACATTGAAGTGGTAACCAGTAGCTCTGTCTCCACACACACGGCAGACTTTGGGCTCCCCATCATCTTCTTCTGTGGAGGGGTCGTTGCTGGTGGGACCTGATACTGCTTCTTTTTCACCTTCCAGAAGGATAACATGGCTCCAGCTCCCTCTGTGTCTCTCCTCCAGGTTGACTCCCGTGCCTTGGAAACTAGAATGATCAACAATGATGGAGAGTAAAAGGGCCATGCCATCTGCCGGGCCAGGTGTATTTGATTGTTTCTGTCTGCAAAGAAATACTCCCTAAATCCCTAGCTTTTTTGTGCGTTGTATTATACCCTGTTGCAATGTGAACACTGATTTCATATGGGAGAAAATGTAGATCTTGATGATACTAACATTGTAGAGTTAACCGTTCCACATCGCAACTTTCCCTATATTGGTTTCAATATATCATGGGTCAGCATAAGGAATCGAATGGGAATTTTTGGGGAGTCTTGCAGAAGCCGCAGACGACACACAAAGGTCAGCAGATGATATAGGAAAAGTTTAGAAACTCAGAAATACAGGATTGTTATAAAAAAGGCATTTCAGTAGATTCTGTCATCATATGAGAAATATGATTTCCTAAAGGAAAATGAAGGTGAAGGGTCTGCCTCTACCCCTACTGGTTTTATGCAGATTTTCCAGATCATGGGGCCACCACACCCCTAACCCCTGTGATATGGAAGGGATAACTGTATGGAGAAAATACTGCTGGGAGAAATATCTTGTGACAATAGAGAGGATCCTAGGGTGGGAAGTATGAGTGAGAAAATGCTAAGGAGCAGAGAGATAGTCAGGGGAGAGGCTGAAAAGAGGAAAAGAAACTATGGAGGAAAACTGGGCTTCACAAAGCATGACAGTTTGAGTGTGGAAGGCATCAGTTAAGGAAATATATGTGCTTATCAAAGACAAGTTAGCTAAGAAGGGCTTGAAGCAAAGAATAGGTCAGGGGAGCTGAGGCTAAAGCTGTCTGCTCAGGAAACAGGGAAACCACAGTTATTCCTTCCTTCCACATTGGGGAGAATCTGGGGCACAGTCCCCCCACCCCATCCCCATCTGGAAAATCCACATAACATTTTTTGGCCCTCCCTTTGTACCACAGAAGAAGTCTGAATTACTATGGTATTAAATTGATAAAATTTGTTGATATTATACAATACTATACATATTTCATGCATTTCTGAGTTTCTAAACTTTTTCCGTGTCATCTGCAGGTTCTGCAAAACTCCCCCAAAATGCCCGTTTAATTTCTTATGCCATCCCACAATATATAGGAACTGCGATGGTGGGAGTTGTGATTTGCAAGTGATAACTGTCATTTAAGATTTATGGGAGGGGAAATTAAGTGAAGCACCATAGGTCAAGATGCCTAAGTTAGGGTACAGTCTGGCCAGAACCTAGAAAACTCCCTAAAATCTGAGCATTGTGAAGCTGTATTCAATGACTGATCTGTGAGTTTTCTCCCTGCACAGAGCATACACCCCAGGACTGCTTCACCCTATGGTTCTGCACTTAATGTTTGTTACCAGGTGTGGAAATACCCAAGGTCCTGCCTGCATCATCGACCTCCTTTGCACTCTACACAACAGGGGACCTGGCATGTTTTCTCTTGTAACAAAATAAGTTCCTATTCATGTCTTTTGGAGTCATGTCTGTTGGTTGACATAGGTAAAGAGTTGAATTGTTTAGACTTACCTGCTGAAAGGGCAGAAACAGCTCCCTGGGCTGACTGCAATGCTAGTCAGAGTGTCTGCTAAAGATGGAGCAGCTGCTTTATTGGATATCAAAGACCCCAGATCCAAGTGTCAGAAACGGAGAGTTCCAGAAATGTCCACTCCAGGGCAGGATTTGTTTTTTTCTAAAGACAATTAGAAAATTACTTAATTTTTTAAAACATTGGCATACACATTCATAGATAATACTCTATAGAAAGGAGCTGGGAAATGGAGTCCTAATTCATAAAGAAATAGAAAATGTAAATTGAGATCTCTCCTCCACCACTTCAAATGTTCAGCTGCTTTTTATTGAAACCTCTGGATTAATTCCAGCATTGTTGCCTTAATCTTTCTGACTTCAGAACCAGAAAATCTCAGAATTTTACTTAATACCAGAAAACAGATTTCAAGCAATGACCTATAGCCCCTAGGAACTTTACTTTGGCTTTTATAGGCTTGGAAACTGTTAATACCTGTAAACTTGCTGTATGTTTGTTAAAAACATTAAAAAAACCAAAAAAACCAAAAAACCAGCCCCGGTTCTCAGTCCCTTTTTCTAGGCAGAAAATCTCTACTAATTAGGTGCTTATCCTAACACAGTAGTTAATATGTAGCAGCTTGGCAGGAACTAATCAGAGTTGGCAGAGACAGAGCTGCATAATGAGGGAAAACTAGTTATTTGTCATACTTCTCTGCCAGCCTCTGTCCCTGACTATGCAAAGTATAGGTTGGCAAACTTCACCTGAGTTCTTGCCTAAATTGTAGAATTTACTTTTAAAGGGATGGGTGGTGAATATGTAGAAAAGGAAGCAGTGATCACAAAGAACCAGCATGGTTTCCTCAAGAGTAGGTTGTATCTGACTAACCTAATTTCCTCTTTGGTCAATTATTAAATTGATAGATCAGGGGAACGATTTGAATCTATTAAATATTTATTTAAATATCTAACAAAATAAATACAAATATTAAATTTTTATTTAAATATTTCATTTTAGCAAATCATCTGACATAGTGTTGCATACTGTTCTTGTTGAAAAGAAGGTAAGATGTGGGCTAGATGATAGTACAATTAGATGTTAGATGGCTGAACTCAAAGAGTGATCTTAATGGTTTGATGTCAACATAGAAAGAAAGAAGTCTTCAGTGGAATGCCCCAAGGATTTGTGCTTGCTCCTGCATGGCTTAATACTTTAGAGCACAAATGCCATGCTTATTACATTTTCAGGTGACACAAAGTTAGGGGGAATAACTTTGATCCACTGAATGACAAATGCAGAATTCAAAAACATCTAGATCAGGGGTGGGGCACCTGTGGCCTCCAGGCTATATGTGGCCTTCTAGGTCATGGGGGTGTGACTTTTTGACTGAGTCTAAGTTTTACAGAAAAAAAACCCTTTTATTAGGGGGATTTGTTTTGTGAAGTCTAGATTCAGTCAAATGGCTGAACCAAGAGGGCCACGTGTGGCCTCAAATTAGCAGATTCCCCACCCCTGAATTCTGAGGTCTTTCTGACTCTTAAGCCCAATCCTGGGAGTGCTCCCATTGTCCTTACACATATTATCCACCCTTCCAAGTTAGCGCCCAGTGTTAACCAATAAGAAAAGCTGGGATAATAATTGTGAGATATCACAGAAGAAGCTTTTGGTGAGTCTGGGAGGGGAGGATAGTCAAACGTTAAGCTTCTACCCTTAACATAGAACCAGTCATACAGGATATCCCCAAAGACTTAATGCAATCTGACGATTTAATAGCTTCCACAATTTTGGGACACCCTGTAGAATCAGACTGCTAGAAGGGCCCTAAGAAATCCTTTAGCCTGACTCCTCCTTTTATAAATCAGAAAACTAAGATTGTATGGAAGTTAAGAAGCTTGCCAAAAGTCCCCCAAATCGTTAATGGTAGATCCAGCATTAAAACCTAGGTTTCACATAATGAGCAATCCTCCTGGAAAAGTGGCAAATTTTTATTTGTCAACCCAGACATCTCATTGAACAAGTCCATAGAGTTGTTCAAAAGCCCTAAGAGAAGTAAAAGCAAAGCAGGCAATGGCAAAGTTCAGGGAACATCTCAAGGCCACCACAGCTTTGGGCAGACTCTCTTTCAAGTGACCCAAACTAAGGCTGTTGTACAATAACATGTTATTGCATTATAACCAAATCCCCTCTCCAGCTTCCACCCCTGCAAAATCATGAAACCCCCCTGTGGAGTCATTTCACTGACTGCTCATCTGTACCATTGTTCCCTGTCATAATGAGGATGTGGTTTTCTGAATTAAGAAGGGTTAATAACTGAGGTAATTGGGGGTCTGCTACTTCATAAGGGCCAGTTGTTAAATTTTCAGCGTGAGCACTTTATACCTCAGATATCAGCAATGCTATAAATCAGGGCTTGTTTAGACTTAAGAGACAGTGCTGATTAATTAATTTAATTAAACTTAAAAGTATCTTGTAATTAGAAGTACTTGTAAAATACTTTGATTAACTGAGTAATCAATTAATTAATTGACAAGTAATTGATTAATTAATTAAACCTAAAAGTATCTTGTGTATATATGTTTCTGTTTTTGTTTTCCAGAGAAATGGCTTTCATTTACCAGCATACCTTTATGTGTACCTTTATGGATCAGAAACTCCTTAAGATAGGCCTGCACAACATATGGCCTGTGGATGCGAAAAATGTAGGGTGCCGCTGTACTCTCTCCTGTTTGTCCTGTGTCCTGTGACCCATGGCAACCAATCTTCTTCAGTATGTCTCTAGTCTAACCTATCTTCGGCCAGAAGAAGATGAGCCTATTTTAATTTTGGCCCCTACCTACTGCCCAGTTGTGCAGGTCTGCCTTAAGACAAGATACCATGTCTCATACTTAGTGAGGCAATGGGAATTAATGGGCCTGAGAATTAGGACACCTGGGTTCTACTATAAAATCAATTCATGGCCTCAGACAAGTCACATTCCTTGGCTATGTTAAGACTCCTCCATCTATAAATTAGAGATAATACCTGCCCTTTCTACTCCACAAGGAAAAGTGGAATAATTTCCCCTTGCCGATAAGGAGTGCTTATTGAGGAAAATACCACGGCCCTGTGAGTCCCCACTTCCTGGGAATGGGAAGGCCAAGAACAAAGAGCAGTAGATGGTGTCCAGACAGGCAGGCCCAGGGGAAGGAGGTAGAAGAGAGAGATAGCATGGCGTGGGCACGAGTCAAACAGAGTCTGCAAGAGAAGCCTGGCGGGACTGTGGATCTGCTGAGGTCTGATTCACTCTCTCCAGGCATCAGCTAGGAATATGGCGCAAGTCAGTGGCCAGCTGCCAACAGGAACTTTTAAGAAGAGGGAAGAAGGAAAAGGGCTGGAAAACTGAAGCAGGATAAAGGAGTAGAAGAAGACAGGGAAGAGGAGGGAGAAAGAAGGAAAAAAGCCCTCTAGGGCTGCTGGTGTGGTCTGTTTGTCTTCCAGAAAGGGTATAAGAGAAGAAGCCTGAAGGAAGAGAGAAGCTTTGTTAAGGTGAGAAGAACAATTAGATGGCCCCTTTAAGTTAAGATTTAATGTGAGAATCCAGTCAGTTAAAAATTATTTTGTGAGCACCTACTATGTATCAGGCACCATTCTGAGTGCCAACCTTCTGAATATCCAGGTACTTGGAAAGCAATCACCTAGAAAGAGATTATGCAACGCAGACCTTGATTATTCATGATTGGAGAATCATGGGACATATTTGCAGTCATTATTTTGACAATAATTGCAGTACTTGGGGAGTAAGAAGTTTGGCATGGGCTTCAGATCAGCAGAGAAACCAAATTTCTCCCAAAGAACATATAAGGAGAAATTAAAGCAGTACTAGGTGGTGCAATGGATAAAGTGCCAGATCTGGAGCCAGAAAGACTCCTCTTCCTGAGTTCAAATCTAGCCTCAGATACTACCTGTGTGACCCTGAGCAAGTCACTTAACCCTGTTTGCCTCAGTTTCCTCATCTGTAAAATGAGCTGGAGAAAGAAATGGCAAACCACTCCAGTGTCTTTGCCCAGAAAACCCCAGATGGGGATCACTAAGAGTTGGACATGACTGAAAAATGACTGAACAGCAACACTGATCAGTGGTGCCTGTTATCTTTTATGAAATAAATACTCTTGGGCTCTTTTCTTGAATCTCAGGAGTAGTGGGAGAATTTTGTAGTGATTCTACTTGGTAGGCTCTTCATTGTCTTCTGGAATGAAACAGTGGACAGCAGAAATTCTGTGACCTGCTCTGAAAGATATGCTACATGATAATAGTTCCTTTAAAAGTGGCAGGCAGGTTTGGGAATTATAAGTGTGGACTAGAGCTCTGTGGTAATGGAGGCATGGAGTTAACCTCCTTACAGGTGCCTCCCATTGAGGTACAGAGAAAGGGGGTGGGGAAGAACAACCAAATAATCCTATAGATGAAGCTCAAAATATTTTGAACATAATTTGGAGTCAGGAAAATGTTTTAGGTGTGGATGATAAGGACGTAGCAGAGTTGCCTATTAAAAAAAATGAATTGTGTAGAACCCTCCGTGTTGAAAAATGAGGTATAGATGCAAACTGCCAAAGAGCATTTCATGATAAAAGGAAGGCAGACACTGGTGGGAGAGCTTCAGGGGCCCAGAATGAAACGGGGAAGAGAAACAGCTAAGCTGGTAACATCTGTGCAGGTGAATCCAGCAAAACCAGCCGGGGCTATAATAGGAAGAAAGGCACGGAGAAGGGATTTCAGGAAGAAAGGAAGGGGAAAAAAAGAAGACACATCTCAGGTTGTGGTGAGGGGAAAAGGAAAACATGAATTAGTCAGGGCCTAACAAGAGGTACAGCAAGACAATAGCTGGGACATGGCAGCCCCTTGCAGAGGAAATGAGACAGAAAGCTCTCACTTCAGAAGAGACGGCTGTCTGAAGTCTGCAGAGAAGGGATGGAAGGAATAGAGAGAGACCCAAGGGGGAATAAAAATGATACACCTGCTGTAAATAGAACACAGGGCTCAAAAAAAGAAATAGAGGAGAAAAGTAAGATAGAGCTTAAGATATATGGAAGGAAGAGGTGGACTAAGAGTAAAAAGCAAAGAGAGGTGGGA